AAGAAGAAGAAGAAGAAGAAGAGATTGGATTTATACCCCGCCCTTCACTTGGAGTCTCAGAGCGGCTTACACTCTCCTTTCCCTTCTCCTCCCCACAACAGACACCCTGTGAGGTGGGTGGGGCTGAGAGAACTCTTGACACAAACTGCTCTTTTTCAAGGACAGCTGTGCCAGGGCTTGTGACTGACCCAAGGTCACATCAGCAGGTGCAAGTGGAGGAGTGGGGATTCAAACCCGGTTCTCCCAGATTAGAGTCCGCACACTTAACCACTACACCAAACTGGCTTGTGGAAGTTCATTTGATTTAGCTATCTCTCTTCTTTGGTTCTTTCTATCTTCTTTCAAATTTAGTACTGCGTTAAAATCCCCAATTACATAGATTTCTTCCGCTAAGAATTTTGTTACTGTATTTCGCAAGTCATGGTAGAATTTTTCTTGTCCTTGATTAGGCACATAAATGTTCACTACTAACACCGTTCTGTTCTGCCTTTTAATTTTTACAATCAGCACTCTACCATCATCTGATTTAAACATCAACTCCGGAAACAAATGAGGTTTTACATATGTTGCAACCCCCCTTTTCTTACAACTATCAGCAGCCACGAAGCATGACCCCAACCTTTTAAATTCTAGTAATTTTTCATCCTCTTTTTTAATATGTGTCTCCTGAATACATAACACATCTGTTTTAAGTTTTTTCGCCTGACAAAATATCTTTCTCCTTTTTTGTGGTGTATTCAGGCCATTAACATTTATCGACACTATTCTAATCCTCTTCTTGTCCATTCTGTTTATTCTCTGATTCTTTTTCCCTCTTCTGTCTTAGCCTTGTAGTTACTGCGGGTTGGCCGAATTTCTTATATCTTCTCCTTTTATTTTCCTTTTTATTTTGTGTTGTATTTTCTTGTAGTTCATCCTGTGACTCCTCTTCTGATCTACTAAATTCTTCCTCTCCTCCACCCAATTCTTGCCCATATTTTTTTAGAAATTCTTCCTGTTTCATTATTGAGTTTAATCTATAACTTTTCCCCTTATATGTGAAGGCTATTCCTTCCGGTACCAACCATCTGTAAACTATATCATTTTTCCTCAGCAGTTCTGCCAAGATCTGATACTCCTGCCGTCTTTCCCTTATCCTCCATGGTGTATCTCTCAGTATCCTCACTTCGCTGCCCTGTATATTAACTGTTGTAGTTCTTGAGATCTCCAGAATTTTTTCTCGTGTTGACCTTTTACAAAATCTAATATGAACCTCCCTAGGGACCTTATTTCTTTTAGCATACGCTGAGTTCCTTCTATATACAAGTTCTATCTCTTGGGTCATTTCTTCCCCTGATGTTCCTAACAACTCTGCTAAAACTGGTGCTAAAATTTCTTTCAAATTTTCCATTTTGTTTTCTGGAATATTTTGAAATCTAAGCAGATAGGCCGCCTTCTCAAATTCTAAGGTCATAAGTGCTTCTTCCATAGAATCACATTTGGTCTTCAGGTTCTGCACTTGTTGATCTATTGCTTCCACTCTCTCTTCTGCTATATCCCTTCCTTTATTTAGTTTAGCAATTTCTTGTTTGTTTTCTAATATCTGACCCCTGAATTTCTCCAGCTGAGTTGTTATCTGCTGTGTAAAAGAATCTAATTTTACTTGCAATGGTTCTATTGCTTTTGTTATAAGCTCAGGTAGCAGGCCTTGTATTGCAGTGTTCACTGCTTGCGTTACACTTTCATTTATTTGAGCATTTAATTCTTTCATTTGGCTTAAATTTGCCGCTGCTGTTTTAATCTGCCCTGGGAATGGTACTGACGGCTTTCGTACCCCGCTTGCCATTCTCATTTAGTTTATACAGTACCGAAACCCGTATCTTATACCAAAAACTCTAGGCTTATTTTACTAAACTTCTGTTATAGTTTCCTTAATGTCCTGGACTCTGCCCCCAATACCCCACCTCCTTATGTATCACCCTATACCTTAATAAACCTTACTTCTTAATCAAAAGTTAACACACATACATCCATAAGTATTCCCTTCACCTCACCAAAAGAACTCCAGTCTTATCCTCCACACCTTAAACCCCACACCAACAGCTCCTTATTTAATTCAGTTCCTTATTTAACTCAGTCAGATCCGTAACAATCTCACTCTTTAGTTCTGGTATCGTAGTTTCAACTATCTTCCTTATCTTCTCCGTATTTCTTAGTTTTTTCCCCGGTTTCTACAGGTCTTTTCTTCGTCTCACCCTCCGCTGCTGATTGTTCCAATCGCGCTGCCGTAGCGACCAGACTAGGCCAGTAGATAGCTGCAAACTTGATCACTCAGCTCCTTATGGTATCTACTGTCTTTCCTCCACCTTTTCACTCCGTTGGTTAAATTGTCTCGCAATAACGTGGTTGGAATAGTTGCGTTTTAATGCGCCCACACTCTCCCTCTCCAACATCGACCCACCTCGTTTTAAACCATGCCGTGCCAAGCCTGCCTCAGCCGCTCGCACTCGCTCTGTCTCTCGGCACTCGACAAGCCAGGTCTGGGCGCTTCGCTTCTCTCCATCGCTCTGCTCTCTCACCTCCTCGGGAAAGCCACACACCACCAAATAATAAAGAAAAGTTGTAAGTGTCTTATCGAGACCCTTCCTATTTCGAAGGGGTCGGTATCTGCTGCTGCTCCTCCTCGGACTCGCAGCCCTGGCTAAGGACCAAGAAAAACTTGTTCTCTTGTCTTGGCCTCCTGCTTCGGCAATATCTCGGGACAAGGAACAAACCGCCATCCGTTTCCTATCTCAAGAAAAAGCGCCTTGCTCAAGCTTCCCTCCAGGACAGCTTGGAGAGTATATGGTGAACCAAAGTCTCTCTAGAAGACCAAGAATGCAGGTAAGACCGAGAGAACACTCAAGGCTTGCCTGCTGTCGCCGGAACCGGAACCGGAAAATGTCCTCTCACTCTTAATTTCTGAAGTTCTCTATTCTTTTATTTATTTTATTTTATCGGATTTCTAATCCGCCCTCCCCTGCACACCAGGGCTCAGGGCGGATTACAACAACAATTCTAAACAATTAATATACAATAATTTAAACAATTAAAAGCATAATAAATTTAATAAAACCTACTAGAACAAGATAGTGATAGAAGACAATTCATAAGTCCCTGAAGTACATGATAGTATAAATGAAACTGGGGTTGGGGAGAGGATTATAGGTAAACAAGACTATGTAGATGTTTATCCCTAAGCTAAGGACCTCACCAACAGAATTCATTCACATGCCAGGGCTATAAGTTTGTGCAGACAAATTCACTGAAGATACTCTGGGATGATTATCCACAATAGCTAATTCAACCCTCCATGCTCAGAGGCAGCATACCGCTGAATATCGAGTGCTGGGGTCAAACAACAGGGGACAGCTGTACGGCTGTTCTGTTCTTTTCCTTTTGTTTTTCATTTTCCAGTCAGGCTAATTTTAATTCCTATTCTTTCTTCTTTTTGAGTGGCTAATTTGGAAAATTCAATTCACTCTTCCTTTTCTCTGGCTGTTATTTTAGCTCATTCAATTCATTCCTAAGTTTTCCATATTTCTATAGTATCTGGTTCTCTTTGCACCTCACCGTTACTGTTCATCTCTCTGGCAGTACCAATCTTATTTGCAGGGGGCTTCATTTTCTTGGGAGGCATTTTAACGACAACTCCCTACCAATGTTCCCTCTAAGCTGTAGAGTCCTGTGAGCAAAAATTCTACTTTGTGAGCTACTGGCATTAAAGTTGTGAGCAGGTGATTTGGCTACTGCATAAATTAGTTTGCTCTGGAGCCCTCCTTCCTGAGCCAAGACAAAAATCTGTGAGCCGGAGACTAAAAAACTGTGAGCTAGCTCACACTAACTCAGCTTAGAGGGAACACTGCTCCCTACACTTACCCTTTTCTGTTACCTCAGAAATGTCAAATCTTTTCCCCAAACCCTTTTCCCTTGACTATTTGGGATCTTTATTGTAGCTCCTCCTTACGATTTACTTGAAGTCTTCAGACCAGCATGGCTACCCACCTGAATCTAATGTATTTCTTGTAACATTTGTTTTCACAGACTGAAATACATAAGCAAGTACTTCTATATCCAAGGTAACAAGATCAAATGGAAGAAAACATTGTGGTGCATAATTTTTAGTTTATGCCAGTTTCTTATTCTTCACACAAGAAAATGACTCATGGAAGTCCAGTAGGAGCTGTGCAGAAAACTTTGGGAGATCTAGCACAATGGCGTGTCCACATTTCTCCAGGATATGAACTTGGGAATGAGGAATGCCTGCAGCTAAAATTGCTGCTCCAGACGAATCCAGGATCTGTACAGAAAAGAATCAAAATACACCATATCCATCATTGCTTCCACATATAGGATTTGCTCCAGTTTGGCATCCAAGCTGGAGTGGGTATTTTTTTGGACCATTCACACTATGTCTTTTGCCACTGCAATCGCCTCTGCATTTGAGAGGGGCAATGATCGCTACATGGACAATATCACCATCCGGAAGTAGCCCATATAATATGTACAGAATTTTAAAGGTTGTAAGAAATGAGTAGTTAGCAACCCTTGTACATCCTACAAGGATGTAAATGGTGGAATGCAAGACTTCTGGTGAAAGATGCTGTGACGACCTCTTATCTGGGGAGGTCTGGTTTACCTTTAAAGTTCTTATGTTTTATTTTCCTATGGGTAATCTGGCTGCCACCAGGGAAATTTAGGCTTTCCCACACCTATTTCTATAATATTTTCTTCTTCTGGTTTTGGTATTGTGACCCAGGGTCTGGTCTTTCGAAGGACTATGTGTTTCCTGAGAAGAATTTCGTTCAGAACTGTTATCTTAAATAAAAGTAGATTTATTTGATGTTTCACACACTTTTCCCTCTTACTGACAGGGATCTGGGCATGTCGCTTTGTAACAATATTCTCCTGAGACCATATATGGTTACTGTTTCTTTATGCTTTAACTTTTCATAACACACACAAGACTTCTCTCTCTCAGACCTTAAAACGAACAAACTGCTTAACTCTTTTACTAGACAGAACTTATAACAACTGCTTTAACACATCACTCTCCTCTGACAGACTCTGTTCAACCCTCTTTTTCAACTCCCATCTCTATCTAACCGTCACCCTTCAACTGCCACTCTTGACTGACATATCGGTTCATCCACACTGCATCCATTCCAAAACCCCTCCCCCTCTCTGTCACTCACCAACCATATCACTTGCTTGAGTCCAGCACTCTAGAAAATCACATCCATACAAATCAAACTTTTAAAGTCACACACACACAAAACATGAAATCGTTACAGATGCCTAGACCAACGTTTCATTAGGACAAGTGGAGATTCATAAAATATTTTGTGTTTTGTATATTTTGCACTTACCCTTTGTGTTACAAACTAGCACTCTCAATCATACTCTAATATATTGGAATAAATTAAATTGAAATTTACAAAACTGGCCACTGAGGCCAAATGCTTCCCCAATTTGAGTTGTCCCCAAAGACAGAAATATAGATATTCGTAGTGTACTTGCCTGGTCATTTCCCCCCCAGATGATCTGTGTTGGAGCTTTGATCTTGCTCATGTTGTCATGAAGGCCGTACAAGGACTCATCACTGAACATGTCGAAGAAATCTTTTTCAATAATAAAAAAGACATACAGCTAATTCTGGCATTCCTTTTCATACCCATTTAAAAGCCCACCTTCTCCGACTGACTCCCACTCGGTGTCTGATACACAGGAAGTCCACTCAGGCCAGCCCATCATGCTTCTTACTGCCTCCTCCCTCCTGGTTTATGGGGACCGTAGCCACTGAATCTTGTTCAAGGTTCGTCTGGGTGGCTGGTCCAGCTAGCACAGAGGGCTTCAACGGGCTAGGAAGTGGTTGGACCTCCATCCTGCAGAGACACTCACCTGTGGACTCCAAGCTGCCACCCTCCAAAGCTGCCATGTTCTGCAGGGGAACTGACCTCTGTAGGCTGGTATCCCTACCACCCAGGTTCCCTCACCTATCCTGCACCAACGATACTGCCTTAGTTGCCACTGTGCATCCCCTACAAGCAGGGGTCATTTCGTAGAAAAAGAGGTGCAGGAGCTCATTAGCACAACTCATTAGCATAACTTATTTGCATATGCCACACCCCCTGACATCACCGGAAGTGTGTCAGAAGGCAACACCCAACGCTCAGGCTCCACTGGACTGTTTTGGATTGCTAGCTATTGGGGGGGGGGAGAACGTGCAGATCTGTCCTTGCAGAGGAGGGAGAGCTTGTAACCTGAATAAAACTTGGTCTTAAAGGTACCACTGGACTGTTTTGGACCGGGGGGCCGGGGGGAGCTCTGCAACTTACCTGGCTGCTTCTTGCTCTGACTGAGGGCTGCTGGGAGCAGGGGGTGGGGCTTGTTGCATGTGCCCGCCCCCTGGACTCTTTACTGCCGGAGCTCCGCTCCTGTTCACTCCTGCAGGAAATGACCCCTGCCTACAAGTCTTCCACCCCCTGCCAGCTCAGCGTGGCTGTCCTTAAATCCCAGGGCTGGTCTTCCATTGGGATAACCTGGGAGGAGTCTGGGCCCTTACCACCCACACTGGCCTCTCCAGCACAGGGAAATGCCCTTCCCAGTCTTTGCAACTCCAGTTCCCAAATTGGTACCCTCACCCCAGCCAGTGGCCTTCTGGCCATACCCAAGTTATGGGTTTACTGGCTCCAGCTGAGCCCTTTTCTCAGTCTCTTAAAGGTGCCTTGTCCTTCCTTGCCTTGCCTCCCAGTATCACAATCAGTTCTGCTCATCCCATGCAATACATCCATCCATGTAAGTCTGATTATCATAAAGATAATCAGTTCTGGCTCATCCCACATAATACATAAGCCAATGTACTTTCTGGCAAGGAGTGCCCAGGTTCGACTCCCTCTTTCCTTTCCAGTTGTAAGTGGCCTCTCTGCTGGGGACTCTTGCATCCTTTCAGTCCTCTTCTCATCCTTAGTGCAAGACTTTTAAAGGCTTCCCATATATGCTGGGTAGGGGGAGGCAGCATGGTGTAGCCTGATCTCCTCATATCTTGGAAGCTAAGCAAGGTCAGTACATGGAAGGGAGACCACCAAAGAAGACTCTGCAGAGGAAGGCTGTGGCAAACCACCTTTGCTTCTCCTTTGCCTTGAAAAGCCCCTTGGCTGGAGTCTCCATAAGTCAGCTGTGACTTGATGGCCATTTACACACACACACACACACACACACACACCCCTATATGATGAGATATCCATGTTAAAAAGTAGCTGGGAAAGTGTAGTATTATCTGAAAAACGCAGGGCGCGGCCGGGTATCTGATCGCAGAAGGGCTGGTAGTCCCATCGCATCTGACACCCGTCCACGTCCCACCGGATGTTTTCTTGTAAACCTCCGTGGTATGCGCACAAATGCGCATGTGCACAAACACGGTCCTGCTTTGTTGCCACACTTCGTCATCACCGTGTGATCGGCGGCTGACGGCCTGAGCACGGAGCCTCGGGGGAATGTCGGATCGTGATACCGCGCTTCATTTTGCTCCCGGAGCAAAAAGCCTCCCCCCCCCCCCCCCCCGGATTATCTCGCTCGTATGACTGGGGCCATGGTTTGTTTTTCTTTTTGGAATGTGGAATGTATTCTGAACAGAGGTTAGCGAGAGAGACAATTATGTTTGGGAACAGAACGGATTAACTCTCTTTGAAATTCTAGACCGTGACCTTTTGCCTACTTTATCCTATAAAGGAAGGACTCCGTATCTCCTTCAGGGTGCCTTGCATGATCTGCTCTTGCAGACATCAGGATGATCATCCTTAATAAAGACTGTATGCTCTGTTAGCTAAACGTCTTGGGTAGATTTCTCTCTCCCTCAATATGTTCTCAAAAAGGGTGGAGGCCTGCCTATTCTAGGCTGTCCTGTAACAGTAACTGTCTTGTATTGTAACTTAGCTGGACTCATGTTCATGGTTTTTTCCCCCTTAGATGTGTATCTCCTAGGTCGGGACAGCTATTTTTATATGTATGTGCTCTAGTTTAATCTTTAGTAATAAAGCTTCTATCCTGCTTAAGAAAGCCGACTGTGACTCAAATCCTGCTCACAAGACTCAAAGACCACTCTTACACACTAAAAACATGCATGCACAGAGTGGGGGGGGGACCTAAAGTAACTGGACACTCTGCCCTTTGTACTTGCTCCAAAGGCTGTTTTACCAGGGTTTCCCAAGGCACTGGTTATATGATAGGCTGGGTTTTGTATCTTGGGGTGGTGGCAATGAACACACTTTTACATGCAGGAAAACAGGGAACACACATGTGAGAACACACAAATCCAGGACGGGTTTGTTAACAGTGATTGCTTCCATTTTTTTTTTAAAAAAAGCTTGTTTTTAGTATATAGCTCAGCATAGAAGAAATTCCTATGATGCTGTGAGTATGTGTGAAGGGAATCAAGGAGATTTACAGAGATGAACTGTAACTGGATGAAACTCCACAACAGGTAAACCTGAACTCCTACACTCAGCAATCCCCTACTAGCGTGAAGAGCTTTGTGCGCTCATTATTTTTGCTAATGCACTTACATTTTAGGAAAAAATCATTGTTCGGCGCTCGCATATCTAGGACTCCCTTTATGACCTATGAGAAAAAAAGAAGAATCTGTTTCAGGTCACAGGAAGTATAAAGTACTTAGGGGGTGATAGCATGTATAACTTAACATTTCTAATCAGGAGCCAGTATTGCTATTGAGCTTCAGTAGTACACAGTCTCTCTTTGTTCATTCACGGTTCCAGAAGGGTAGCCATGTTCAATCTGTTGCAGCAAAATTAAGCAGGAGTCTTCTAGCCCCCTAAAGTCTAACCATTTTTTTATTGTTGTTTCAACAAAAGCTTTCATGGACAACGGCCCACTGAGTGGATCTTCACTATGCAGTCACTTAATACATAAAATCACAGTGTAGTGAGGGCCCAGTTAATGGTCCATTCTGCATCTAGCATTCGCTCCACTGTTTTACCAAACCCATGCTGGAACAGAAATTCCCCTCTACATTGCATGCCACTTTCACTTCCTTTGATCTCTCAGATTTATGGTACTGTCTACATAGAGCTATGGCGGTTTTATGGCCATACTGTACTGTCAGTACAGGGTTGGCCTGGGGTATTTGAATGTGGTTTTGAGCCACATCTTTTTCTGTTCCAGTGTGGGTTTGGTAAAACAACAGAGCGAATGCTAGACGCAGAATGGGACAATGTATCAGAAAAAGTGGGGTTTAGTCTATAAGAGGTTGCTGGAATAAAAATCTTGTTGGTCTTTAATCTTTCACAACACTCCAGTTCTGTTTGTTCTCAGAGCTGAGCAAGCAGACTTTTCCCCTTCATTCAGGGTACCTGCAAAGAGCCTGTGTTGCTTCCTCCTGGAGGCTTTGTCACTAGACATCCTCAGAGTTCCATGAGTAAGCCACCGAGCTACCCACACCTCAACTTGTAAGGCTGAATTTTCCCATACCATTCTTACTGAAGTTCTTTGATGTATTGTGTGAACACTGGAGGAGGTAGAGCACATATCACCTCCTTAATAATAAAATAAATAAAAACTAAACCAATATCAATACTGTTAAAAAAAACCCATCACAACTTCTTCATAGAAGACTACAGCATGGTATCGTATGTGGCCCACTAACAGCATTTGTTCTTTGGGATGGGGGGAATCAGTAGCAATCGCCTCTCCTTTTGTTGCTGGAAATTATCTTGAAGATCCAAGGGGTAATAAACTCAGAGAAGAACTTTCTGTATTGACATACAATATCATAACAAGAGATCATAAGAACTTCATGTCTGTTCAATGTGTGTGATTTTACCATGCAATTGAGCACAAGGGTTACTTGGGCAAGAATATTATATTCTTTCCCTGTCTGAGTTTTCAGTGGTGCTTTTTCAACTTTTCACTTTTTTACCTGTTTAGGTAGCTTGATTTGATTGTATGTGCCAGATCTGAGCATTTCTTCTCCTTGTTGGGTATTCAAAGGAATGAAAGGAATGTTCTCAGTGACACGGTTTGTACACAGCTCCTTCAAGCGCTTCATGACCTCCGTTTCTTTTGGACACCTTATGCCTAAGGATTAGGAGAGAATGCACAGTTGACAAGGATCAGCACTGTGGTTATGGGGAAGGGAGAGCTCTGTACATGCCAGAGACTAGACTGGGAAGGTAGGAAGAATTACTCTTTGGCCCAGTCTGTATCCAGCATTTATTTATTTATTTATTTACTTACTTATTTATTAGATTTATATCCCGCCCTCCCCAAATGGGCTCAGGGCGGCTAACAACAGAGGCAAATGCCATAACAAACAATTAAAACAGCATAAAAACAATCAATAAATAAAGTGCGGTGCTCTTGATGTTAAATCTTATTACTCCAAGATGGGTTCCATTTATCAACCTACCCTGACAAAGTAAGTTCTTCGGTCATCTAGGCGTCTTCCCAGGGCCGGCTCACTTATAGGTCTAATCCATCGTCAAAGATGGCAACTCGGTGGTGGCACAATGACGACGGCCGTTCCTATGCAAAGGCCTGGTGGAAGAGCTCTGTCTTACAGGCGCTGCGGAACTGTGCCAAGTTCCGCAGGGCCCGGATCTTTTCTGGGAGCTCATTCCACCAGACAGGAGCTGCCTCCGAGAAAGCCCTGTCCCTGGTTGCGGCCAACTTGATGTCCTTGGGGCCTGGAACCACCAATAGGTGCTGCGCCCCAGACCGTAGTGCTCTTGGGGAAACATATGGGGAAAGGCGATCCCTTAGGTACGCTGGACCCTGGCCATCAAGGGCTTTATAGGTAAGAACCAGCACTTTGAAGCGAATCCAGTACACTATAGGCAGCCAGTGCAACGCCTTCAGCACAGGCTGGATGTGGTCCCGTCTAGTGAGACCCATCAACAGCCTGGCCGCCGCATTCTGCACCAGCTGCAGCTTCAGGATTTGGGACAAAGGCAGCCCCATGTAGAGAGCGTTACAGTAGTCCAACCTTGAGGTGACCGTCGCATGGATCACTGTGGCCAAGTCTTCGCGGTCAAGGAAAGGAACCAACTGCCGCGCCAATCGAAGATGGTAAAAGGCTGACTTGGCAGTGGCTGCCACCTGGGCCTCCATCAATAAGGAGGAGTCCAGGAGCACTCCCAAACTCCTAACCCTTGACACCTGCACCAACAGCGTCCCATCGAAGGCCAGGAGAGGGAGCCCCAAACCCGAACCAACCCAGCTTAGGTTTAGGCCCAGGACCTCCGTCTTCACAGGGTTCGCCGCCCAGATAAAGCTGGGTGTCATCCGCATATTGATGACACCCAAGACCCACACTCAAGAAGATGCCTCTGGGACTGCTGTTCCCCTATCGCCACCCTTTGTCCCCGACCTTGCAGGAACAAGGCAAACCATTGAAGGGTGAGCCCCTGAATCCCCATGTCGGCGAGGCAGTGAGCCAGCAGCCAATGGTCGACCGTATCAAAAGCGGGCGACAGATCTAACAACAGCAATGCCGCCACACCACCTCAATCCAGATGCCTACAGAGGTCGTCAGTCAGGGCGACCAATGCCATCTCCGTCCCATGACCCAGGCGAAAACTGAACTGGAAGGGATCTAAGACTGAAGCATCCTCCAGAAAACCCTGTAGCTCTGACGCCACCGCCCTCTCTATAAGTTTGCCCAAATAGGGCAAATTGGACACCGTCCGATAGTTGGCCAATTCAGTTGGGTCCAAAGATGACTTTTTCAGGAGGGGGCAGACCATCACCTCCTTGAGTGCTCCAGGGAACCGTCCCTCCAAAAGGGACTTGTTGATAATCTCCCACAGGGCACCTCGAACCCCCTCGTGGCCCGCCTTAACGAGCCAGGAGGGGCACGGATCAAGGTCGCATGTGGTTGGGCGCACAGATACGAGCCGTCTGTCAACTTCGTCCAGGCTGAGTGGGCTAAAACATTCTAAACCCAGAGCCGAAGGTGTGCAAGGGGACTCAAGTTCACTCACTGTCTCAATTGTGGCAGGGAGGTTGTGGCGGAGCGCCAAGACTTTATCTGCAAAATAGCTCACAAAAGCCTCACAGCCAATGTCCAATTCCCTATCATTTCGCCTGCCCTGGGGCAGGTCTGTCAAAGACCGAATTGTACTAAATAATTGGGCCGGGTGTGAGCTAGCAGATGCAATTGAGGCCGCATAGAAATCTTTCTTTGCAGCCTTCACTGCCATCTCATAGGCTCTCATAAGTGTCCTATAGGATGTTCTTGACGCTTTGTCGCGAGCACGCTGCCACCGTCTCTCTAGTTGTCTCAGCCCTCGTTTCAGCTGCCGCAGCTCCTGGATATACCAGGGAGCACGCCTAGAGCGAGTGCGGAGAGGACGCCTGGGAGTGATCTCGTCAATGGCAGCGGAGAGCCAAACATGCCAGTCCTCCACTAGCTCATCCAATGAGCCTCCAGGGGGCCTTGGATCCCGTATCGCCATCTGGAGCTGCAACTGGTCCATTTGACTCCGCGGGTGAGTGTAAATCTGCTCGCCGCCCTCATAGGTGGTACATTCAGACGGGCCCTCAAGGTCAGGTGGTCCGACTATGGCACTGTCTCAGCAGTGATCCGGTCCACCCTCACTCCCGCCGCAAAGATCAAATCGGGCATGTGATCGGCCCAATGCATGGGGGCCGATACAAATTGCGAGAGCCCCAGCGCCACCATGGATGACACTAGGTCCGTAGCCCGGCTGGAGGTCGCGTCCTCAGCATGGACGTTGAAATCACCCAGGACAATCAGTCTAGGGTGATCCAACGCCCAGCCTGATACGGCCTCCAGCAGGGACGGCAGGCTATTGGCCGGTGCATTAGGCGGTTGGTACACCAACCAAATTGCCAAGCTCTCCTCAGCTTCCAGCATCATGCTGACACATTCCAAGCCTGCGATCTCAGCACTCGGGAGCGCCCTGAAGGAGTAAGTCTCCCAAATGAAAAGTGCCACTCCTCCCCCCTGCCCCCTAGTCCGCAATTGGTAAAGGACTGAGTAGCCCGGCGGGGTCATTTGGGTGAGAGCCACTGTCTCTCCCTCCCTCGCCCAGATCTCGGTCACGCATGCCAGGTCTGCCTGTTGTTCAATCACAAAATCCCGAAGGATTGAGGTTTTGTTGTTGATAGACCTGGTGCTGCACAATACCAATGACGGAGGGAGGTTATGAATCCTGGCCCCACTGCCAGCTACCCTTGGGATGGGTCGTAGGCTGGAAGGGCACCGAGCCATTCTATATCTCTGCGTCCTTCCCTTCCTATGCTGCCTAGACCCACCGCTAAACTTCCCCTTCCCCAAGAGCACCGTAATCTGCTGTTCGGACATCTTTAAGTCACATTGGCCGTCTCCGTTAAACGTCAGACCACCAAACCAAAGACGACAGGAGAGTTCTACTGCTCCTGAACTGCTAGTAAATTACAAGGTGCTGTTATCCCCCAACAAATCATCAAATAACAATACAACTACTAAGAACAGCTATAACACCTATAGCTACAAATACAACAATTCCAGTCCCTGTCCCTAGTAGTTACAATCACACAGCACAACCACCCAGCATTCGCCCACTAGCAGTCAAAATCCACAGCCACCCTCACTCATCCTTCCACAAACACACACTTTTGCCAGGCAGTATTAAATCCAGTTCTATCAGTCTAAAAAGTCCCACCACTCACCACTAGAGGGCCCCGATTGTCTTCGGCTTTTCCTTGCTCTTCAACCACACTACACAGTCCCTGCAGGCTCTGGCTCGCACAGACGATCCCAAGCAAGGCCTCCAGGCCAGATGGCTGCAGACTCCACCAAGGCTGGTGCTCCAACTGTCCCGACCAGTCCCGACTCCCAGCCGGCACCCAAGCACCGTCCCCGGCACGCTCCCCGGGCCACCACTCAGGGCCCGGATGGTCCCCAGAAGAGGAGGGCTGTTGTTTTACCAAACCCACATTGGAACAGAAAAAGATGCGGCTCAAAACCACATTCAAATACCCCGGACCAACACAGTACTGACTGCAGAGTCACCCCTGAATGGCCATAAAATGGCCATAAATCTATGCAGACAGTAACCATAAAACCAAGAGACCAAACAAAGTGAAAGCGGCATGCAGTCTGGACACTGCCTGCTATGTTCTGAGTTATGCTTAAACTGTTGTGTAATGGTTTGTGCATTCTAGTTCCTCCATTTTTGATTGGCCACCTAATAAAGACCTTCTAGTGGTCCTGAAGCCAGACAGTGTACCCAATCAGGAGGCTCCATTTAGGTCCATCAGAGCTCACAGAAGTAGCAACATTGTATATAGTTCAGTACTGGAATGGTATAAGTATGGGTGCCGCTCTTAACAGAGCAGATTAGAGCTGAGCAATGTTATGAATAAAAGCCTCGTTATTGATCATCGCCTCCTGCCTGTCAGTACTTAAAATTGGCGACGAGGATAGGATCCCAGGCCTAACCAAACAGGGAAGTCACTCTCTGCCTGCCCAGACTGAAATCACTGAGGGTGCCTAGAGCTGAATCACTACGGGCATGGCATCCAAGGGCCATATCGAACCGTTCGACCCCAAGGTTGGGAACTGGGAATCCTACCTCGACTGTTTTGAAGGAGACAATGTCTGCCACGCCACCTTTTTGAGTACCTGCAGCCAGGCAGTATTCGACATTGCTCGGGACTTAGTAGCTCTGTCTATATTACTGGGAGGAGCTGTGGTGGCTCAAGTGGTTAAGATGCTGAACTGCAGGCTGTGGAAGGTCAGTAGTTCAGCAGTTCGAGACCCGAGTGTGCCGCATGATGGGGTGAGTTCCCGTCTCTAGTTCCAGCTCCTGCCAACCTAGCAGTTCGAAAGCAAGAAATTGCAAGTAGATAAATAGGTACCACTTCAGTGGGAAGGTAACAGCGTTCCGTGCGCCTTGGTGTTTAGTCCTGCCGGCCACATGACCACGGAAATGTCTTCGGACAGCGCTGGCTCTTCGGCTTTGAAACGGAGATGAGCACTGCAACCCTAGAGTCGGACTCGACTGGCTTTCGAGCAAGGGAACCTTTACCTTTTACCTATATTACTGGAGACATCCCTCAGCGTCATTGAGGAACAGCTCAACAGCTATTTCACGCCTAAGACGTCTGCTGCCGTACACCGATATGCTTTCCACCAACGAAGCCAGAAAGAGAACGAGTCTGTCACGGAATACATTGCCACATTGAGAATGGCTGCTCGTGACTGCCAGTTCCCGAATTTAAAGTCAGCCCTGATGGATCGTTTGCTCTGCGGCCTTAGAGACGACAGCATCAGGCGAGCACTTCTTTTACAAAAAAGAATTCACTTATAAATCAGCACTCGAAGAAGCACTGAGAGTGGAGGCCGTCAACATTTCTCTTCATGAACTGCGTTTAAGTGCTCAGAGTCACACGTCATGCCGCACCGACGCTGTTCACCATGGCATTGCCACAGACTTGTCTGATTCCAAACATCAGTTTGGGTGCCGCTCTTATCAGAGCAGATCAGGGCTGAGCAGTGTTATGAATAAAAGCCTCGTTATTGATCATCGCCTCCTGCCTGTCAATACTTAAAACTGTCATAAAATCCGACAATCAAAGAGAGTGAAAGTGGCATGCAATGTAGAGGGGAATTTCTGTCCCAACGTGGGTTTAGTAAAACAGCGGAGCAAATGCTGGGTGCAGAATGGGCCACCGTTGCTGACTTTCCCAATATGGATCTAGCAATCCTATGTAGACAGGAGCAGATATCCTGGCCACTACTTTCCGAGGGCACAACTAAACGTGATGGTGGCCATGGGATGGCCACCAAAGCCATTTTAGGAGCAGCTGTAGTTTTTCAAAAACTGCTTTGATGCCCCAGTCCAGAGCCCCAGGAGCTCTTGTCCCCCCTCCCTCCAATATCTTCTCAAGTGCTGAAGCAGCAATGGGTTTCCCTGAAGTGGATTTAGACACTCACCAACTGGGCAAAGGAGAGACAAGCCACAGACTTCAGATGGATAGTTAGCAGCATAAAGCCCAGCAAACAGTCCACCCATGGAGATGCCAACCAGGTGAAAAGGCTTTCTGTTCAGACCAATGCACTCCACAAACTGAAATAAGAAGCATAAACAAAGGGAACATGAGAAGCTTATGCAACAGACAAACAAGTTCATCTCATCCGGCATCCTGCTTCAAACAGTGGCCAATCAGATGTTCCCAGAATACCTGCAAAGCAGGACATAAACTGTTGGCTATTGTAACTCTGCATGCAGGAGGATCTGGAAAGAGTTAAGAGAATTCTCTAACTCAGGAATTCTCCTTCTCTTTTACACGGGCTTGGAGCTGTAGCAAGTCAAGTTCTTGGGGGGGGGGTATTTTTGCATTTTGTGTATGTGTGTGTTCCCATGCCTGGAAGTCATGGCAACCTCTGGTGACTCCTACTGGGGCATGGAGGACGTTCAGAGAAGTGGCTTGATACAGCCTGCCTCTGCCTCCTCGCCGTGGTATTCTTTGGAGGTCTCCCATCCAAATACTTGCCAGGGTCGGCCCTGCTTAGCTTCCAAGATCTGCTGAGATTGTGCTTGCCTGGGCTATCCAGGTCAGGGCACAAGTTAACTTTTTGAAGTTTATCCCTTCACAATACCTAGATGAATATGCCATGTAAGATATGCTTCTATTTTTGTAAGAAAAAAATTATTTCTCTTGTTACCATTGGAGTCAAATCATCTTTGTAATTTGTTTGAACAGCATTTTCCCCTTAACCAGGAAATGTGGAGGATCAGGGATACTGCATAACCCTTCTGTGCTTCCAAGGCAAATGTTTTTTGTTTTTTTTACATTTAACCCAATATAAACCACCTTGCTTTGGAGTCAGGAGCCATGGCATCACATGCAATCAACAAACAAGGGAAAGACCTTGGCTCTGTATATCTGAGAATTAGGCATGTATGGAAGTGGATTGGCAATGAGACAAAGATACTGTTATTCACACTAGAACTGTTCTCAGGATGGGTCCCACTTGGACAAAACATTGCAATGTTGACACCCAAAGAGGGACACTGAATAGAGATTTAGTGTGAGTGATTGAACCTTAGGCTATCTTATTGATTTACTTACAATAATATTAATATCAATGGAAACATTCATCTGCACCCCCCAGGACCATCTTCTGGAACCAATCAGCCAGATAAGAATTAAACCACCAGAGTGCAAGTCCCCACAATATTCATTTCAGCTCATCAGTCCAGAAGGATACCGTGCTTGATAATATTATGAACTGCAAAGCAGGCTGCAGCCAATGAGTCTGTTGTGTATTAAGATAAACTACACATGCGCTTGGGTTCTCACGTGGTCAGGTGACCAAGCGCAGCTTAAGGTTCTATAACAATAGCAGGCAAGGAACCGAGAACTAGCCTATCGGCCACCTCGGATCCTACGCCCAGCCTATGATGGATAGCCACCATGTAAATAGCCTATCATGGGAAGTGGGGTGTGTGTTTGGTGTGGTGTGTTTCACAGATTTAAGCAGGGTCACGGACCTGCAAGTTGATTTGTGTTTTGCCAGTAAACTATGAGCTAATCGCTTACACACGTCTGAACCCAGTATATTATAGAGTCTCAAAAGGAACTCCATCCCCATGCATATCACCAGCACCAGTCATTTATAAGGTGACCAAGGCAGCTTCAGTTTTAAAACTGGGTATTAATCCAAATCTAACTTGGTCCAAATACTCTAGAGAAGATGCTCAACCACCAGCCTTCAAGTATCTGGCCCCTCAAATGAGATTATTGCTACAGGGAGATCATTATTAATCATACTTGGGTCTACAAACAGGTGCAAGATTTTATGACCAATAAGGCTGGCAGAAAACCAGGTGATAAAAAACTATTCCCCTTAGCAGGGTTCCTCTTAGCCGCTTCTTTATGTGGGTTCATGCAACCACAGTCATAATAATTTCAACCTTTAGCTGATCTGCAAAAATCTCTGGCCAAAAAGCAAGCACTCTACCTGTAATGTATTCAGATGCTGCCCTGAATGCATGGGGATGAAGTGTGAATCATCCCATAGAGAAGCTATGCTAAGCTTCAGACGTCGGCTAGGATTCGCGCCGAAAAGTATTGTGTCCAATCACATTTGAACGGTCTGTGGTGGGAACGTTGTGATTGGGCTATTATGCGAACAACCTGATAGGTTGGAACTTGTATAGTAGGTGTGGCTACATTAGCCCGGAATGTTTAAATACCGAGCAGCTGAAATGGACAAGCTGTTCGGGCTATGAGGAGTTGTACCGTGTTGGAGAAGTTGATTGTCGAGCTGAGTTTTGCTGAAATCACTCTCTGACTACTTTGTTAAGTACGGACTTAACACTACCTAATCTGAAAACATCTGAATACCTCTAGAGCAGAGGTCCCCAGTTTTGTTGAGCCTGTGGGCACTTCTCGAACTTTAAGAATTGAAAGTGGGAGCCACCATAAAATGGCTGCCTTGGGGATCAGATGCAATCACAAAATGGCTGCCACAGCACAGGGTAATGGGACCAATCATAAAATGTTGGGAGATTCCAGCCAGCCTCATCTTATGATGGGGACAGCTGTTTCTGAATGCTTGCTCCCTGCAGACACAATGGCCGTGGCCATATTGGCGGCTTGGTGCGATATGGTGCCACCTCTAATTGAACCGGTTTAAAGTGTTGTGGGACATATCAGCCACACAGCACACCCTGCTGCGGGTTAACCATGGAGACATCCCGTGGTAAAGCATTCACGTTATTACAGCACCTCATCCACAGAGTGCAGTGCAAAAAAAATTCCAAAATTCATGCACACGGCAGAACAGATCTGCAGGTTCAGACTGCCAAGTCCATTCTGCACGCGCTCCCCTGTGCTCAGACATCTGGCCATGCGCAATGACTGCATGGGGAACCTAAAACACCACTTGTGATGTGGTGCCTTTTTAACCCGGCTCCAAGTCATCCTATGATGGGGAAAGTATGGCTGGGGGACACCTGACAGATGTGGCTGTCTGACTGCGCCCATTTGATCCGGAGGGGGGAGGAGTGGCCGTGTCAGGCCAAACTGCCCGTGTGATCACAGCCAAAGGCTCCTCCTGGGCCCTTCTGAAACACTTCCTGCTACAATGGGGTGGAGGAAAGTCAGCACCAGCTATTTGCTTTGGGGAAGAGGTGCTCTGGGGAAGAAGCAAATGGGCAGTGAGAAACCTTCCAGTGGGTGTCATAGCGCCCATGAGCACCATGTTGAGGAATCGTTGATCTAGAGAGAGGCCTTACCTGGTGTAACCTTTTAAGCTGATCAGAGGCAGTATAGCTATCTCCTGGCAAGCAAGTGGTATCCCCATGACCAGGCATATCAACAGCAACCACATGGATGTTCTTAGGGAAAAACTTAAGGGGGGAAAAAAAATACCAGAAATGAGGGTCTCAAGAAGTGAAAGCACAGGTAATACATATCAGCCTCATTATCATGAAATTGTTGGGACATATTACATCCCTTTGTCACTGCCTCCACCTATATTTGGGTTTTTCATTCAGTAATTTTTTGGACTGCTAAAGGCTCAGGGATCTTCACTAATAAGACTTTTTAACTTGGGGGGGGAGGGTTGAACATACCTATAAAGTGGCACATTTCCAAGTGTGTGTGTGTGTGTGTGTGTGTGTGTGTGTGTATATATATATATATATATATAAATAAAACATCATTTATACCCTGCCTTTCTCCCCAGTGGGAACCCAAAGCAGTTTGCATCATTCTCTCCTCTCCTCCATTTTATCCTCACAACAACCCTGTGAGGTAGGTAGGCTGAGAGTACATGACTGGCCCAACCACACCCAGCAAGCTTCCATGGCACGAGTGGGGATTCAAACCTGGGTTTCCTAGATCCTAATCCAGCATGCTAACCACTACACTGCACTGGTTCTCATACAAATCTGATAAAACTGGGGGGGGGATTAATTTCCCTCTCAAAATCAAAAGGACGTTTAAGTTGTTTTAGAAAAATGAAGCTCGTATATGGAAAGGAGATATTTTCAAAGTTCAAAGCATGTTCCGAGAAGATAAGCAGGAAGCATATGTTATTGAAGAATATGATCTAGGGTTGCCACCTCTGTCATGTGAAATTCGTGGAGATTTTGGGGGTGGAGCCTGGGGAAGGCAGAATTTGGGGAGGGGAGGGATCTCAGCAGGGATGATTCCATAGAGCCTGCCCTCCAAATCTGCCATTTCCTCCAAGGGAACTCATCTCTCTTGCCTGGAGATCAGCTGTGATCCCAAGAGATCCCTAGCCACCCCCTGGAGGCTGGCAGCCCTATGATCACACACACACTTTATACACTGTATCAGGGGTCATTTCGTAGAAAAAGAACTAGGGGGACTCATTAGCATAACCCATTAGCATATGCCACACCCCCTGACATCACCGGAAGTGTGTCCTCCCCACAGCCGGCGGCGACCTCCAGCGGGCACCAGCAGGGAGCTCCAGGCCCCGCCCTCCCGCACCTCACCCGGGGGGATGGCGTCCCCCCGCGTCCCCCCCAAAATGACCCCTGACTGTAATGATATAATCAAAGCTTCATGCCAACAAAGGTTGTGTGTGTGTGTGTGATATAATCAAAGCTTAAATTTCACTTCTAATGTAATCCTATGTCTGTGAGAACTTTCTGACAACTGTTCATGGTACAGTTTAATGTTGAAGCTGAAGAGGAAGGCAGTGCATGGACGTAGGAGTGGATGAGCAAGGCAGAGGTGAAGAAAAAAACACCCAGAGTAAGGACAGGAACTGATGTCCCCCCGCCCCAACGACTAGAACCGTCTGCTACCCGTTGGTTGCCGAAGCATCATCAGATATGGCAACTTACACATTTCCAACTTCTCCTGTTCAATCCATAAAGGTTAAAAATGTGTTTGTTTGTTGGGTGAGGTCATGAACAGGCAGAATGCTTTCAGCACTGAACACCTCTGAATGCAGGTCCCTAACATACTGGAGCTAGCTGCCTAGGGTGAATCTCTCCTTGTCCATTGGTACCTCAACAATGCTCCTCAGTAACAACAGCATTATCTGCTTCCCAAAAAAGTTTAAACTTACCAAGAGGGTAATTAACCACATGTCTTTGTTAAGTGTGAGCCCATGTAGCATCAGAATGGAAGGCTGAAGGCCAGGCTTCCCACAGGACACGTAACTGAACCTGTAGCCATTATGCTCAGCATATCTCACTTGCAACCCAGTTCTCTGTCGACCATACCTAAAAGCAAAGAGGACAAGATAAATGGGCAGGACCTCATCGTGGCCATCAATCAATCAATTAGTTTATTATGGTCAAAGATCCATCGAACAGCATATCGTGGCCATCATTTTTTGTATATTTCTCTAGCGTTTATCACCTCCCCCCCTGTAATGGTTATTGGTCCTCCTCCCTGATTTTGGTGCTGTTTCTTTCTGTGATTTTTAATTTTATTGAATTATTTTATAAGTTTGAATGTTGTTTTTCATTGTTCAAATATTGTAATGTTTTTATGTTCACTGCTTTAGGGTCCCTAATTGGGTGAAAAGGTGGCATAAAAATGTTATAAATAATGTTTTTTAAAAATACTATGCTAAATTAGGACTCTTTTCCCCCTGACACCTAATTTCCTGTGGAAGGTGATCAAGTCTTAGGATCCCCCTCAAGAGTAGGCTCAGGGTATTTCGCTCGTCTGGCTGTGAAATAATCCACTTTCAATGCACTTTCAAACTGGATTTTGCCAGTCCACACATAGTAAAATCTAGTTAGAAAGTGCATTGGAAGTGGATTATCTAGGCTGCAATCACACACATTCAACAATCCACTTACTGTGTGAACTGGCAAAATCCAGTTTGAAAGTGCATTGAAAGTGCATTGAAAGTGCATTGAAAGTGGATTATTTAGTGTGTGTGATCGCAGCCTTAGTGTGTGTGATCGCAGCCCAAGCATCATCTTCCTGTGTTTATGCCCCCCATGCACATACACTTCCCCACCACCAAAGAAGCACTTGACACTGGCCCTGGCTCACACTTGCCCTATTTATTTGTTTATTTCTGACCCACTTTTTCCTCAGAGGTCAAGGCAGATGCCAAGAAAAATTACATTACAAACTCAGCAGTTTCAGCAGATGCCACTATCAAGGTTTCACAAAAGTATAAAAAATAACACTGCAGAACCTTGATTATCAAAAGTGACTGGCCATAACTTTGAAACTACCCAGCCATACAGGCTAAGGGTGTGCACTTCAAAAATTATTATTTTAATTCCACATCAGAAAGTTGGGAAGGGCATAATTATCATTTTCATATCGGGTCATTCCAGAAAGTTGTGCCGGGGGGGGGGGGGGGGGGAACCCTTTTGAATCCATTTTAATAAATGTTGGAAGAAATGCTTCCAATTCAGTGCAAACAGTAATCATGCCCTTTCTGAACTTAACCAAAAAAAATTAAAATGGCAATTTTTGAAGTTCCCCCTTCCAAGAGGCAGCAGAAGCGGGGGGGGGGGGAAGGGAGACAGAAGCCATGCCTACCACCTGTTGAAAATAATGACCCTTTACAGTTTGAACGGCCAATGAAATGTGGACCAGCTGGGACATGCTCACTCCTCCTAGACATTTGCTGCCTTTGTGACACAATTCTCATTTCTCAAATGTATCAGGAGTGAAATATCAGAACCTGGAATTTTGGAGAGGCCTTAAGTGCTACCAGATATTGCTGATCCGATCCAATGCCGCAAATATAAAGGATTATATTGGGTCAGCAGAACCTGACTGCACACCCCTAATGCAGGCATAGAGATCCCCTCCAGATGAATTCTGGGAGCTCATTCCTAAACTGAGTGCTATGCTAGAAAGAGCCTGACTGGGCATCTAAAGTGTGTGGCATCTGAAAGATGGCGCCATGAACAGGGATTGCTTCACAGGCCAAAACTGGTATATGGGAATGGGGAAGGAGAAACAGTCTGTCAGATATGCCAGCCCCAGTCCTTGATCTACGCTGGTTCACCACCCAAGTAACCCAAGAGGCAGATGGTGGCAATGGGGCTGGGGGAAGCAATGGCCATGGCTAGTGCCTATTATTGTGTTCACCTTGAGGTGACATGGGAGGAGGGTGCTCAGGGCAACCTTGAGTTGGCCCTGGCCATGAAGAGCTTTCTAGGTAAGAAACAGCATCTGGAATTGATCCTGGAAGCTAAACAACAGGGAAATACCAAAAAACGAATGTATAGACTGTTATATGATCCTTGTTTACTCTGTATTTTAGTTTAGAACACCCCTCTTTGTAATTTGTAGAGATAAAAAGCAATAAAAATGTTTTTTAAAAAGGAAGCATGAAAGTAGCCAGAGCACATTATACTGGCCCTAAAACTAACATCATATGCACAGAGTTCAAGCCAAAACTAAGGCAGCTCATGCTACACAAACTAAAGCTTTCACATTTTCTGGAAGGGCAGTCAGATTTGGAATATGTAGTGTAGAGGATTTTCAAGACTGTATCAGTGTGACCAGGTAAGCTGGGTCCAGAAGGAGAGCAAGTTACCAACTTGGTAAAGATGAAGAAAGTCACTCTGAGTAACTGATACAACGCCTAAGCTCCTAGTATCACTGGCTAAAGAGAGCCAAACTCCATCCCAAGTTGATAAATCAATCCATTTCAAGAGATCAGTCTTCCCAACAACATCATCACATCTGAAGTTAGTTTCCGCTTCCTCCACTGCATCTTCTTGATCACAGCAACTAGGCACTGCAACAGCTACTTCTGGAGGCTTAGTTATAAAATCTATGAAGATGGTTTGGGTTCAGCTGAAGCAAGATGCTGCAGCTCGCTTGCAGATGCACCATTTAGGCAAATATATCTCATGTTTTGTGCAACTCTACACTGGTTGTCAGTCTGTTTGCAAACTAAATTCCAAGTACTGGTGCTTCACCCATAAACCCCTGCATGTCATGGGACCAGGGTATCTGATAAATAGATCACTGCCTCCCCGACACTGTTACCTATCCCCCTGACCCTCATTAATATTAGCTATGATTTCACCCCACCCACCCCAAATTGTTTGGGTTACATTAGACCAGAGGGATGGGACAGCACCCTCCCAAGCACTTGACTTTAGGAATGCCAGGAATGTGGGGACCTCAAAAATGTTTGGCCTCAGGATGTCAGATGTGAAGGGAAATGCATATCTTTTCACGTTGAAAGGAAGGCTTCTTTTTCCTATCTTTTTTTTGTCTGAGATTTACTTTGCCAAAATGTGGAGTTGTGTATGCATCCAGTCTTGTGTTTTGAATGTGCATGTGTAGGGGACACAGATGTGACAGGCCTAGCACAGGGTCAGATCTGGGCAACATCACTAGAAGCAAAGGTTTCACAGTCACAATTATCAAATAACCAAACATCATAACTGTAGCATGGCCCACAATTCTGCACATGTGCCAATAATCACATATTCATAGCACTATTTGATGAAGGAGCTTTTGGCCCATCAACAAGGCCTGAAAAAATTTCCCAGAAACTGTCCTAGATAATGACTTACCATATCCCAAACTTAAGCAGCACTGAAGGCCACAGGAAGTAAATGGTGAAGAAAATAATCAATAAAATGCCTATGCATATCAGAAGCAGTTCAAGTAAAATGAAGTCCATGCTTGCTTGTTAAGTTCTTTCCTGTCTGCACATAGTTAAAAAAAAATCAGACAATGAAGAATTGGAAGAAGGTGAACTCTTAGGAATGCTGAGAAGAAGAAACCTGCAGGACAAAAAGGTTTGTAGATTCAAGCTAGGGTTTCCATATGCCCACTGGAGACTGGGAGATATCCCCCACATTAAAAACAACAACAACACTAGACGTATTTCTGCAAACTTAAAAACATAAGAAGAGCCCTTCTGGATCAGACCAGTGATCCATCTAGTCCAGCATCCTGTCTCACACACCAACCAGTTCCTATGGAGGGCCAACAACAGGGCACAGTCGCCGAGACATTCCCCTGATGTTGCCTCCTAGCATTGGAATTCAGAGGTGGATTGCCTCTGAATATGGAGGTTCCCCTCATTCACCATGGCAAGCAGCCACTGATAGACCTATAATCCATGAATCTATCTAATCCCCTTTTAAAGCTGTCTATTCTGTCATCACTACATCTTCTGACACCAAATTCCACATTTTAATCATTTTCTGTGTAAAGAATTATTTCCTTTTGTCTGTCCTGAATCTACTGTCCATCAGCTTCTTTGGATACCCTCAAATTCTAGTATTTTGGGAAGGGGAGGGAATCTCTTGGTCAGCTCTCTCTACCTCATGCATAATTTTATAACCCTTTATCATGTCTCCCCTTAGTTGTCTCTTTTCTAAAGTAAGAAGTCCCAGACTCTTCAGTCTTTCCTCATACGGAAGGTGCTCCAAACCCTTAATAATATATTATTAGAGCCAGTTTGGTGTAGTGGTTAAGTGCGCAGACTCTAATCTGGGAGAACCGGGTTTGATTCCCCACTCCTCCACTTGGACCTGCTGATGTGACCTTGGGTCAGTCACAAGCTCTGGCACAGCTGTCCTTGAAAAAGAGCAGTTTGTGTCAGAGTTCTCTCAGCCCCACCCACCTCACAGGGTGTCTGTTGTGGGGAGGGGAAGGGAAAGGAGTTTGTAAGCCACTCTGAGACTCCAAGTGAAGGGCGGGGTATAAATCCAATCTCTTCTTTTCTTCTTCTTCTATTAGAGGGTTGCAGAGCTAGAAGTACAGAAAAGGGCTGCGGTGCTATTGTCAGATGTAAAGCCTATTGTCAGATGTAAAGCCAGTTACCATGTCAGATTACACAGGGAAGCCATTGAAATTCATAAACATAAACACAATTTCAACAGGAAAGAAGAGAGCTTAAAAATAAATAGGGCATGGTTTACTGTCCTGAAAACCACTTTACATCTGACAATAGCACTACAGATAAGATTAGAATTTCAACAGCCAATCCACATGCAAAAGAACCTCCTCAGGAAACAGGAAACCTCCTCAGGAAACAATCCATATACAAAAGAACCTCCTCAGGAAAGCTCCTCCATTAGCATGTTCACAGTCTGGGGAACTCCTACAAGATAATGACTCAGCCCTACCCCACCTTCCTGAGTAGATAGAAATTACCTGCTTACCATTTTTCTTCTCATCTTGACACAGAGAGTACTCCATCTTTCTGTGTTATACCTCTGAGGATGCCAGTCACAGCTACTGGCGAAATGTCAGGTCCTACAATGCCAAGACCACAGCCATACAACCTGGAAAATCTACAACAGCTCATGAGAGTGTCTGCCCAGTGCTGTACTGCTGGCTCTCCAGTGCGCCCATACAGGTTTTCCTTTGCACACACACCCCAGCCCATGGGGTCTTGCAGTGAGAATACAATGACTCAAAGCTTACCAGCTGCTGTCCTTTATACAGTTTATACAGTTTATATCTCTGGTACCTGGCATTGTTTTATGACACACAGTGCCCGGCCCAACAAAGTGACATTTATGTCAGATCCAGCCCTCATAGCAAATGAGTTCGACACCTCTGATCTAGACTCCTATTTAAAAATTGGTGTAATATTTGCTGCTCTCCAGTCTTCTGGTACAGTGGCTGAATTTAGTGATAGGTTACATGTACAGGTCACATTTGAGTTCCCTGTGAACTCTTGGGTGTATGCCATCAGGACCTGGAGACTTATCAGTTTTTTTATTTCCCCAATAAGTCTAGAACTTCATCTCCTGTCACTTCAATTTGACTCAGTTCTTTAGACTCACATCCTGAAAACAGTGGCATGGCATGGCGTGATGCCCCTTTTCCACTCACACAGAGTGCCTACCACCTTCTACAACTTCTCTTATTCAACCTCTCTCTCTTATTCAGGTTATGGGTTATATGTGGGTTGGGACGTCACACTCGCCACCCTTGTCGTCTCTTTGAAAACTGACAGAGAGTCATAACCATCTCACACCTCGGGTTGGAGTGGGGCTGTGGCTCAGTGGTAGAGCATATGCTTGGCATACAGAAGGTCCCAGGTTCGATCCCCAGCATCTCCAGTTAAAGGATCTGGCAGTAGGTGACATGAAATTGATACGAATGCTGAGTTTAACAGCATCGTGGTCACTGTTCCCAACTGGTATAACAACCCCTACATTTCTCGCCAGGTCTTGAGACCCACTCAGAACCAAGTCCAAGATCACTGACCCTTTGTTTGACTCTATGACAACTGTTCCAGTGTGCAGTCATTTACAATGTCTAGGAATCTCATTCCTACAGCATGACTTAAGCACATCTTTATCCAGTCAATGTGAGGGTAGTCTCCTAATATAATAACATAATCTGTTTTAGTCACCTCCATTATTTCCTTCTCCATCTCAAGATAATCCTCAAAGGTTTGGTCACGTGGGCGATAGTACACCCCCACTTTTAAGTAACCCTTAGGGCCCAGTATTTCCACGAATATAACTTCTGTTGGGGAGTTAATTCCCCTGATATTTTCTAATTTATTTGATTCTATGCCCTCTTTGATATACAATGCAACACGTCCACAAACCTGTCCCTTCCTGTTGTGCCAAAGGATTGGTCTTCAACTACAAGGATAAAAAAGAAAAGATAGACTCTGTTTTAAAAGCGAAGCTGTTCTTGGAACAGCAACAAAGACCAGCGAATAAAAAAGATACAGCAGAGGAACAAAACATCAAAGAAAACAGCAGCACACATGGGACAGAAGAATCCGAATCAACAGCGAGGAGTAATCCAGAAGAAGACTCTGAATCAGAATTAGGGGAGGCAGTCCCAAAAGTCCTGAAAGTCAAATGGAAATATACAAAGAATAAAGATAAAGGAAGGAAACAGATTTCGTAGAATTGTAAAAGTCTAAAAATCTTATTGTCTGTATTTACTTGATTCAATTACAAAATTACCAGTCTGTAATAGAAGCAGTAGAAATTAGCTATATTCCAAAAACTAGAAGGCTTCATGTGGAGGAGTGGGAAATCAAAGCTTAACCACTCTTAACCACTACACCACACCAGCTTTCTACCTATGAACAGCAAACCCTAAGTAGTCAATAGAACCTATCTAGGCAGGGGGGCATGGTGGCTGAGCTTCTAGCTGGCTGCATCCCTCTCACATGTCTACTATTCCCACTGAGGAATATCAAATCTGCTCTCAAAAAACAAAACTAATTTAGAAACAAACTTTAATGCCGGGTATGGAAAGGACTAGGGGGAAGAAGGGGGCAACCCCCCCTACACACCCCCTTGGAAGACTAATACAGACTCAGAAGAGATGTTTCTGCCAGAGGATATAGCGATGGGAGGAAACAATTCTGACTCACGTTACCAGACCATGATTCTGCATGCTTTGACAGAGATAAAAGATGAACTTAAAAATGAAATAAAGACTTTGAGCTGAGATGTCGGACAATTGAAAAAAGAATTTGGCCAGCTCAAACAAACAATAGAGCCGATAAATAAGAAACTCGATGAACTCACCACAACAATGAGGATGACGGAGAAGAAAGCTGAAGCAGCATACCAGAATGCGAAGAAAACAGCAGACAAAATGAAGGAGGTAAAGGATTTTGAGGCTTGGTCCAAAAATAGAATCATACTCCAAGAGATTAAACTAAGAGAAAGGAAGGCCAAACTCCGTGGGGTCTCATTAAACTTTACCAAAACAGAAGATCTCACTGCATCTTTAAATAAATGGCTGTGGCAGATACTTCATTCAGCAGGGGAATCAGAGACCTCCGAAAGAATCATCACCTATGCCTTCTGTTTAAACGTGTCAAAAAGAGCTCCTGAAGATGCCACACCAGATATCCTGATTGAATTCACAGAGGTAGAGATCAAAAATAAACTTTTTAAAACTGCAAGAGAAAAAGAGGGTCTGTGGCCTGAAGACACGATTGTTTTTCTATTTGGCGACGTCCCAGCTGAGGTACTTCTCACGCGAAGGAAGATTCGAGATACAGCAAGGACACTGAGAGAACATGGAATTCAATACAGATGGCTTGCACTAGGCCACCTACTGTCAACTTAAATGGCAAAACTTTCACAGCACACAACAAGAATACTGGGAAGAAGCTATTGGAAGCAGTGATTTAACAAATAGATGGAGGCGTTTGAAAGGAGATACTTTGTTTAGGCAAACAGTATAATAAATCATGTTGAGAGCAATTAAATGAGTATAAGAAGGGAATTTAGAACTATATCTTAAGCGACAACTATTCAGTAATAGTATACAAAGTGATAACCAATACAGAAGTAGAATTGTTATAACTAGAGGGCATGGTAAGGAGGTGGAGGGTGTGCTCCCCCAAAGACCTCTGGTAGCAGAGAGGAGGGGCATCCTCCTTCTGAAGGAGTTCCTCTTCAGCCCCTAGTATCAGAGGCAACCCTGTACAGCTTTCCTTGTTAGGTATAGAAGAAGATAGAATAATAGAGACTGAGCGTATAGAACAGAAGTTAGAAGAATGAGGAACAAATTATTGAAGAATTAAAGGATGTATTAATGGTCAGAACATGATTTAAAGGGAGTTGTATGGTGGTTTCATATGTGGGTAGGATATGGGAATAAGAAAAAGAAGAGAATACAAACTGGATCTGGATTAAGTTTAATTTGTTGGTTATACAGATGGAATGTAACCTTATTTTTTGTTTAAATTATAATATATAATATATAAGGGTATGAAATACTTTTATGAAATATATAAAAGAACCTATCTAGGCATCACATGATCAAAGCCAAAAGGATGTCCAGTTGCTGATGAGAATGGCTGCAAAAAGAAAGTCTAGTTATTTGATGCATGTAATAGGAAAACGAGCAGACCCAACATGAGATAAATTGACTCAATCAAGGAAGCCAGGGCCCTCAGTTTGCAAGACCTGAGCAAGGCTGTTAACGACGGGACACTACGAAGGTTTGAATTAACAGTCCCCATAAATCGGAAGTGACTTGATGGCACTTAACAGACACACACAGGCATTACATCTCTCCCTTATTATAATTGAATAGCAACGTTCTATATTGAACATTCTAAATTTGGCCCCTTTAGTGTTAGGCCGGAAGAACTGCCACTCAGAAGACACTGGCTGGGTTGACTGGCTGCTTTGTGCAGTCCCGCCCAGCGTTCCAAGGTCATTTGCATATGGAAGCTGATTGGACCTCACTCCATTCCACACCTCAAACTCACCCCCCCCACAAGGCAGTTGGAATTTTCAGTTGCATAACATACCTCATAGGGGAGCGAATGATGTCAGCTGCTCTGGTTACCACTGCAGGGAAAGGCAGCCCTTTCCCTAGGCAGAGCCTGTGGGGGGGTTGTAAAACTTAAGACAGACAGGCAGATAAAGGTTGGCTGATGGTAGCCAGGAAAGGACATAGGGTTGCCAACTCCAGGTTGGAAACTTCCAGGATATTTTAGGGATGAAGCCTGCTGAGGGTGGGGTCTGAGGAGGAGGAGGAAGAGGGGGGACCTCAGACAGATACAATGCCATACTGCCCACACTCCAGACAAGCTGTTGCCAGTCTCCAGGTGACAGCTGGAGAGATCTTAAAGCTTTGGTGCTAATCCAAAGTGTTGCAATTTATTGACAGAGTAGTGTTTTGGAAAACCTTTAGGAATTGTTTGGTGCATTTACGATGGGGCTCCTGGGGAACTATTGTTGCCAATCTTGGCCCAGCAGCCATCAAACCATTCTCTTCAACCCCCTGCTG